GTTACAACAGACTCCCAACTTGCAGACATTTTCCTGCAGACATTTTTTATCTGTCTGTCCCAGCACATAGGCTGCACACATGCTGTGCACCAGGCACAAACTGCACTTCGTCCTTCCTCCAATGGGTCACAGCCTGGATGTGTGTCTGTCTTAGTCTGAAAGACAAGTGTCTGCCAAGAAAGGCAGGAACCTCTTCTTAATTTGGAGAATGTAAACCACCTCCCTCCAAATTATTATAATTTTGAAATTAAGGGGCTCTCAGGCAAAGACATGGGAATAGGAGTAACAGTTCTTTACTAGGAAAATGAAAATAGAAATACAGTATTACAGAGAACAAACCCAAAAACACTGACAGAGTCAGAATACAACCTGACACCCTGTCAGTCAGTCAGGGTGTTGGTTGCAGTCCAATTAAATGGTGGCTGCAGTCCTCCTGGAGTGTCAGGTGTGGTTCAGTTGAAGCAGTGGTCCTGTAGAAGGGTGCAGTTTTCCTCCAAAGGTCCACTGATGATGTGGAAAGGTCCAGTTTTCCTCTGGAATCCAGTGGAAAAAGGCAGCCTTGGTGTCCCAAATCTCAGTTTTTATCTAGGTAGGAAAGGCTTGGCCCCTCTCCCTGGCTGGAACATCTCCCAGTGGGATGATGTAATTTTATCAGTCATGGAGTGGGACTCAATGGCCCATTAACAGATGATATCTTCCTGGAGGAAGGATGGGTTGTGAAAAGATAAAGATGACTGCCCCACCTGGTTTTAACAGATGGCCCATTAGTAGAGAATATTTCCCACAGAGATAAGGATCACTGCCCCACCTGTTTTCAACGGATGGTGATAGAATACACTCCTCAGGTCACATCCTGCATTGCAACCCAAGACAGTGTCTCTCAACACTGCCAAGTTAGTTGTGTAACTTGTGTCTTTATTGAACAGCAAAATATCATAATTGAGGTAGAAGCTGAGCAGAAGTGAATGGATAGATAGATGTACCAGCTCCATGCTTTTATTTAAAGAAGTATTTATCTGTCTTTCTCAAAGATGGACCACTTATGAGAGCATTAAAAAGTGTTTTCGTCTCCCCCTCTCTTCTGTCTCTTGAGAAAGCTGCTTAGAGAAGACGAAACATCAGTCCACACTATCTGCTGAGCTGATGCTTCAGAACCTTTTGGTTTGTCTTGCAGATATGAGGTGGCAGCAGGTGATACAGTGTTTTTATTTGTCTACTAGGTGGAAAGTGAATATTTTCTTTGTAGACAGTAGATTTCTTACAAAATCTGTTACCTCCAGAAGACTGTGAACTGTGGCAGCCTCCTCTGATTAAAGTTTCATGTTAACTGTTGCTCAAGGATTTATTTGCCTAGATCTTGAATAGCATTTTTCACAGGAAGCAGATGTCACTTGTTTATTAGTCTGTGCTGGCTTCTAATTCAGGTTTGGTTTTACTGGAAGAGCTGGAGGGTGTTGCTTCTGACCTGGAGCATTCTTGCTGCCTGGGAGATACCATACAAGGAAATGTGAGCTAAAAGCCATAGATGGAATTGAAAGGTGGAAAAGGAAAGGTGTTCACTGTGCAGTTCCCATCCTAGCTTAGGTCAACCAAAGCCAATCTTCTTCCACTCCAGGGTTAATTTTTCCATTAATTTTTGGGGTTTTTTTGTTGAACTTTTGTGGCATTAATTTTTTTCCTACCCAGCTCTATTCCATGCCGTTTAAAGCACTGGCTGCATCAGCTGTTTTGAAAACAGGTATTCTGAATGCTTTTGAGTCTTGCATTATGATGATGAGAAAGAAAAAGGAAATATTGTGGGTGTTTTAGCATTCAATGAGTGCCTATTTAATTCTCTAAGTTCTGTAGGGCAGGTAGAATTATTCTTACTTTAAATAGTACAGATTGGTTTGTTTCAGACTGACTTTGAACTTGCACTAGCATGACATTCAAACCTGAGAGAGCCTATCTGGGACAGGAGCAAGTTAGAAAATAGTTTGTGTTAAAAGGCAGCATTCCAGCTGGAAGAAGGAGTAGCAATGAGGTGAAGAGGCAGGTGGAACTATTCTTAGTTTTGTGCAGAGGGGCTAGTACAAAAAGTAAGGCAGGAGCTATAAACAAAAGGCTGAAGTGAGAAAATATTTTACATTATCCATGGCATTTCGAATTTGTAAAGATACCTGTGCAAGAGGCTAAAAAGGTAACATCTCAATAGTGTCCTAAGTCTGAGCTTTGATTCAATCTATTAGAGAAGCAAAAGTCCATGGTACTTCTGCAGAGCCACAGCTTACGTGAGTATTAAATGCCGCTGTAAAATTGCAAGAAAGCATCTGTGCTCACCATGTATTGGAATATTGCTTTATCTTCACAGAATCATAGAATTGCCTGGGTTGAAAAAGATCTTAAAGATTAGGTAGGTACAATTCCCCTGCTGTGTGCAGAGACACCTTTCACTAGACCAGGTTGCTCTGTGCCCCATCCAATCTGGCCTTGAACATTCTCAGAAATGGAGTACCCACTACTTCTCCTGGCAGCCTGTTCCAGTGTCTTGCCACCCTCTCAGTAAAAAATTTCTTCCTAATAACTAATCTAAGCCTAGTCTCAGTTTAAAGCCATTTCTCCTTCTCCTGTTGCTAGACGCTCTTCTAAACAGTTTCTCTCCATCTCTTTTGTAGGCTCCCTTCTGGTTCTTGAAGGCTGCAATTAGGTCACCTTGAATCCTTCTCTTTTCCAGACTGAACAGTCCCAGTTCCCTCAGCCTTTCCTCATTATCTTCCATGGATATATCCCTGATCCTGTCACCAGTCTGGCTGAGAGATCCATGCCCTACTTTCCCTTCTGCTGAATTGTCACTGAAGTTTGAACTTTGGCTTCTCGTACCGTTTTTCCCTGGGGTGAATCATAGCACTACTTCAGAGAGCCCTTCTTTTTTTTTTTTTCTTTCATTCTGCACCTGTGTCTCTTCTCACAGATATATTCCCTAAGCATGCTAAGAAACATCACTAAAGAATTAATTTAGTTTTGTCAAGTTTCTGGTCTGACCCTTAATTTAGAGCAGTCATTCCAGTCTACAATAAGCTCTGTGTTTCTGCATGCTGTGAAGAATTATGAGCAGTCCTCAGTCATGTGTACTCAGGATGCTTTGGTAGCCCCATTGGACAGGTAGACTTCAGTGCCTGAAAAGTTATTATAGAACAGGGGTAAAGTGAGTATGTTATTTTCTGTGCCACAGTGGGTCTGCCTATATGTAAAAGCTTTTACATGATTCACTGAGGCCATTAGGAATGGAGTGGTGTGCCATCATTTCAGGCACAGAGCTCTTCAAAATGAATGGCTTTTTCTGTCTCTCTCCAGGGAGCTCGGAGAGCCATTCAGCATGTAGATTGGAGGAGACTGTTCATAAGCCTTCAATCACAGCATCAGGAATGCAAAGCTTATTGCTGGGATGAGTCTGAAGCTCTGAGTGACAAATAAGACAACTAGATGAAAAAACCTGACTTTCCTTGCTGAGAAAAAGGTGGACTGATTTTTAAAATTTGTCAACCTGGAGCTCTCATAAGCATGGAACACATGTTGTGTTCCAGAGCTAAACACAGTACTCTGAAGGCACGATGAAGTAATCAGGCAACAGAGAAGAATGAGAACTAAGATCTCCTTTAACTAACTCAATCTTTGATATGTTTTCTGTGCTTTTGTCTTTGCCTCTGTGTCTGTGTGTTGGTTTGAAAGTAAAACCAGTGCGAGACTCCAAGTCAGTAATACAATTTAATAGGAAAAAAAAGAAAAAAATAAAATACATGCAATAATACAAAAGAAAAACCACCGACAGAGTCAGAATACAACCTGACACCCTGTCAGTCAGGGTGTTGGTAGCAGTCCGTATAAATGGTGGCTGCAGTCCTCCTGGATGACAGATGTGGTTCCGTTGAAGCAGTGGTCCTGTAGAAGGTGCAGTTTTCCTCCGAAGGTCCAGCGATGATGTGGAAAAGGTCCGACTTCCCTCTGGGATCCCGTGGAAAGGGCTGCTTTGCATCCCAAACCCCAGTTTTTTATCTAGGTAGGAAAGGCTTAGCTCCTGCCCCTGGCTGGAGCATCTCCCAATGGGATGATGTAATCTTATCAGTCACACAATAGGACTTAATGGCCCATTAACAGAATATATCTTCTGGAGGAAGGATGGGTTGTGAAAAGATAACGATGATCATTCTCCTGATTTTATCAGATGGCACATCAGCAGAGGATATCTCCCACGGAGATAAGGATCACCACCCCTCCCACATTTCAACAGATGGTGATAGAATACACATTTTTGCATTGTACCCAAGGACAGTCTGGTATTCATTGATACACCAGGATATATCCAGTCTAGTTTGCATTTTTTTCCCTTTTCTTTTTTTTCCCCCTCATTCATTCCCAAAATTTCATATGCCCACTTGGTTTTCAGTCCTCTGAAGAAAGCAGACCTTCTGGGTTTGCATGTTGGCCTTGGGGGCTAACAAGAATGTGCTTTCTTAAATGGTCTTGGCTTAATTGGCTTCTGAGGTCACAGACATAGTGGAAGAACACCTGCTCTCATCTTGCTTCAGCACTTAATCCCTGTCCCAGACAAGCCTAGAAGGGCACAACACAGGAGATGAAGAATAGTATAAAAAATTGCTGAATAACTTTTTGAAACATCCGGAAATGTTCATGGATATTGATTTTATTTTCCCTGGTTTTATCATATGCACACCCAGAAATACAATAGAAAGATAGTGTTTCTTTAGTTACTACATTCATTGTTTGAAAGATTGATAAAAGTATGGAAAATCCAAGGTCTCTGCAATCAATATAGAAAGTCTTGAAGGACAGTTGTACATGTCCTGTATGTCTGATACAAGAAGAAATTTCTGTTGGCAAATACTGCTTTGGTATGGTTTTTCAAGACCTTATTGCTTCTATGTGTGTATGTGTGGCTGTGTGTGCGCATTTACTTGATATTTTGCTTTAATTTTTTTCTAATGGAGCCTATTTTCCTTCAGGATGGCAGGACACAGTGTATCCAAGAAGTCTGCCCCATTCTCTCATGTCCCCAGCACCTCAGTCACATTCCTGCTGGACAGTGTTGCCCCAAATGCTTAGGTGAGTGTTTTTTTCCCCCTAGGAATTTTGTAATTAATACAATATGTTTGTACATAACGTCTTTTAGACCAGAATTTCACAATACTGGTAAATTCCAGGAGGTGAAAGAGACTCTATTTCTCAGAGTTTATAATCCACAGATTTTGAATAGGTACTCAGGGTCGGTGTTGGAATTGTGGTGGGTACTACTAAGCAAGCAGCTGCAGAAGAGCATTTGAACATAGAGCCTTGCTTAGAAGAACAAATATAGGGATGCTTCCCACCTTCATTATATATTTTACAAAGGAGGTTGAGGTGGTAATGTTGCTTTGGAGTTTGCCACAAAAAAAGGGCATCACCATCTCATATTATTACTTGAGTGAGCATTTGTATTCTTGGTTTTGAAGAAATACAGGTCAGAGGAAACTTCTGAACTGACATTGCATTTTTAGAAACTACTGTCTAAAAACAACAGAGGCCATGGATCCAGGAGTCCATTTCATGATTGCCTTCTTAAGGTAGAATCACACTGTCATCCAGGAATATTTTCAATTACATATTTCCAACACATTTTAAGGGCGTGAGTCATAGGCCTATAAAAAGGGCTGGTTCTTCCAGATCATGACAAGCAAGGCAGTGACAAAATAAGACACTGCCTTATTTTGCTTTTACTTTATCCACAGATCCCACAGGTTAACATTCCATCTATTTCATAAACAAGGAGCACTTACATCCTACCAAGTAAACTGACTTTAGTTTGGTCTATGGGGTTATAACTAGGCTTGGAAAAATTTCAGTGCTAATTACTCCCAGTTCTTCAATGGAAACTTTTTGTAATTTTGACTACTTTTTATCTGAAATCTCGTAACAGGTTTAGGTTAGGGATACAGAGATGTCTGGCCTTGGAGCCAGCAAAGCTATGTAGATTTCCAGGTTCTGATAATACTTAATATTTTTGACTGCATGAAACAAACCTGAATTTATTTATTTGCTAATTGAGAAGTGCTACAGATAAATAAATCTCTGCCTGGAACATTCAAGCACAGTATCAGAAAGTAATGCAGTAGAGGAATGAAATGGAGAGGAGAACCATCTGAATGCTGAGCTTCTGTTTTGGCTGAGGACATTTTTCCTTTCCATCTGGAAACTTTCCTTGTCCTCTCCTCCCCATGCTGTTCCTGACTGAACTTTCCCCTCCTTGAACTAGGCATTCAAAATTCAGCTTTAATTTTTGACTGCTTTAAGAGTATCTTTCTACAATTTCTTTTTTCCCTTCTTAGAATGTAAACTAATTGAGTAATAATAGTGAATTTCGTTTTATGTGGTATTTACTCATTTTTTCTCTGAAGCATTTCATATACTCGGGAATAGATTATGTCTAGGGAAATGTTAAGTGTTGGTGGGCATGTAAAGCGCTACATAGCAGTTGGGAAAGAGAAAAATTTCCAGGGATGCTGAGGCATGGTTTTTAAAGTGTCATGTGGAGGACCTCCCTGCAATTGAATTCCTGATACTCAGCATACATAGTTTAGAAGAATGCTCTGGACTCTACTGGGACTTGAACTATTAGTTTAACTAGTAATAATTAGTTTAACATTAAGCCAATATCTTCATCACCACATCTTTTAAAGTGGTGCCTCCTTTGACAGTGGTTTTTACCAACTATTTGAACTGGGTTGGCCACCCGGAATTGTGCTGAGCGGTTTGCAAGACATGACAAGAATGTGTGGGAGAGAACTGGACTTTTGCTCACTTGCTGACATAAGCTCTCCAGTTGAAGTCCTGGCCCCACAGAGAGCAGAAGAAGGGCTGTTATAGGCAGGACTGTGGCACAGCTTTGCCCTTAAGTAGTGCATGCATGCAGAGCAGTTCCTTTTAAGACTACTGAATATCCTCAACTGATTCCTTATATCAGTCCCACAAGAGAAATTAAACCTTTTGAGAAAGACACACATCCAGTGAAAGGATGGCTGGCTATGAAAGCACAGGTTAATTCCAAGTAGCTAATTTGCAGGAGAGGGATGTTTATATTGTGTCTAACTGAACAAAAGCAATTATTTAATAACTTTCGTTTTTATATTCCATTTGTAAAAATTGAATGCAAATCCAATGGATTTTACTGTGTGCTTGTCCTTTTGTTCACTTATGTCTGAGAGGAAAATGGAACTTTTTTTTAAGATGCTCTATATTTTTAAAGAATTATTGAAAAAGGAAGAAATTACTGTGTCCCAAGAGCTGATGGTTTGAAAGCTAAAATATTGGCCTAGTATTTAGGACTTCTAGTATTTACTTAGAGTGGGCATTTCCTACCTTGTATTTGATGCCTATTAAATATTAGAGCTTGGAAGTTATAAGGTAAAAGAGTGACAACCACTCATAAAATAACTTATTAGTTGGCTGCCTCCAAAAGTAAACAAGGAAATTCTAAATTAGGAAGGTAAGTGTAGTGTTTTTGTGAAGAGCACATGTGTATGTATTACAATGGTCTCTTTTAAAAAATAACTTACTGAGAAAGAAGCTGAGGACTAAGAGAAGCTTACAGGAGTGGTGTAACTTGGGTCTGAAAGGATTGCATGACTTCAAGAAGGATTTGATTTTGATGCTGCCTTCTTTGTATAGTGCCCCAAACTCTTGCCTCACTACCATTAAACCCAAATAATTTGCATATTATGGAAATTAATATCTTGTGTTGCCTTCATCCTGTTCATAAATGATGCAAATTCCTGTATTTCTTGCAGCCTTGTGTGAACACTACCCTATCTTAATGAGACTGGGAAACACCTATTTTTTTTTATGATCAGCATCACTGAGTTGACTTAGCTTGGCTGCTGTGAACCCCTGAAACTGATATGCTAAAAGAAGTTAAGACTGCTTTATTTGATAAGTTATTGCTTTAAGTTAAAGACTCTTTGAACTAGTTTAAGTGTACCTACTTTAAGAGTGCAGTGCTTACTTTTTATTCCTTTAGCTGCAGTGTACACTTTATGATGAGAAGATTTTTCCTATATAAACATGCCATAAATCATTTATATGCCATCCACAGTAGAATTTGTAGAGATGAATGTGAACTAAAAGAATAGTGAACTGTTAAAAGTTCATATTTTTTTCACATTGAAGTGGAAACACAGAGCAAATTGAGGTAATTCGCTTTTCTCTCCAGTCCTCTGGCTAGCTCTGAACCAGAGAGCAATGGGTAATCCTCATAGACAAAGGCAAAAAAACCAGAGGAGGCTCTTTTCTCCCATGGGAGAAGTTTGTCCACAGTTTATTGTGTCACACACATGGCAAAAGGAGAAAGAGAGAGAGAGAGAAGATGGTGGGCACTTTTAAACTCGAGGAAAGTGGAGGGGAGGAACAGACCCATGACCAATGGGATGCCTTTGACGGGGAGGGGGCAAAAAGAAAGGAAGGGCTCTACCACGCCACAGCTTGGAGGGGGAGAACAGGATAAGCCATTCAGTGCAAATGTAAAACAACTTCTTAGTGCAAATACAACATCTCCCCCTTTTTTGTTAAATAAAGTTAAAAGAAAGGCGTCAGACTTATTCTGATTCAGAATATAGATTTGCCCACCACTTATGATTTGCGGCAAGTTAGACTGCTTTTGGTTTGTCAACTCCGTGTGGCTGACTTCTGAGGTAGTAAAAATTAGACCTTTAATTGCTTTGAAAATTAAGCAATGTAGAATTCCGAACGCCAACAGTATAAGGAAAAGAACAACAAAAAGTGACAAAATTGTTTTAACTATTGAAGTCTACCACCCCATGAGTCCTCAGCCTTTGAACAGTTCACTGAACCAATCCTTGGATTCTTGCTTCACTTGTCCGATCAAGGTTTTCATGTCTCGGAGGGCTGCATGGATGTTGGGAGCTTTTGAGGTCAGGTTCATGCAACAAAGTCCTTCAAGTTCCTGGCATTGGGGTGTCTGTGCGAGGGTCACCCAGATGTTTTGGCATGGCTGAGGGATGATCCACGCAGCTGTCAGACTGCTCAGTGTGAACAGGATGACAACTTGGATGGGGCTTGTTGTGAGGCTTGGTGGGAGGTAGGTTTTTTCTAAAAAGCAAAACCAAACATTTTAAAGTATATTAGAAGTCAGGGTGTCTGCCGGAATGGAACCAGATCTCAGGAAGGTTTTCTTTTTCCTTTCCGGCGGTGTCTTCTTTTTGAAGCAATAGCTACTTGCTTCTCATCCCCTTCTGCTGGAGCTGGATTTTTGGGGATGAAAGGTTTTACCCACATTTGGGGTATCCAACGTGGGCCTGAGGAGGTGGATACACATGCCACGCCCCCAGGTCACAAGTTCATAAGGGCCCTTGGTTTCCCAAGTTTCTGGGTCTCTAATTAAGACAAGTGGACGCTGGAACAACTTAAACCGATCACTGCTGTTTAAGGGACGTATCACTGGAGGACTCAAATTTTCAAATGAACAATTTAGAAAATTGATGGTAAAACATGGCTTTGCAGAGCTTTTGTTGTGACAACATCCACACTGCTGTTGAACTGCTCTATTTAGCCAGGACTTGCTTGAGTGTCTGGTGGGCCTGCTCAACCACACTTTGGGCTGTGGGGGAATGGGGGATGCCAGTTTTATGTTCCACTCCCCACTGCTGGACAAACTCTAGGAACTCCTTGGATTTATACGCTGGGCTCTTGATTTCCCTAGTGAAAAGGCTTGCACAAGGTCTTGTTTGTCATGTACAGCCCTTTCTCCTGCATGGGCAGAGGCATAGACCGCGCCTGAATAAGTGGCAATGCTTGTATGTGAATATTTGAGGCGACCAAAACTGGGAATGTGTGTTACATCTGTCTGCCACACTTTGCAGCTCCCAAGGCCTCGGGGGTTAACCCCAACACCCAGCAATGGCATGACCTGGAGCTGGCAACTGGGACAGGTAGCCACAATGGCCCGGGCCTGACTCTGTGTTAGTCGGAACTGATGGATCAGACCTGGCACATTCTGATGGTATTGCTGGTGGCTCAGCTTCGCCTGTTGGAAGATGTCTGGGAGGCGTGGCTTT